GTTAAAAAATCAATAAAATATATTTTAAAAAAAAAATAAAGGAACTTGTTGGGAATGCTCACTGGGATAGGCCTGGAACCTGATATTACTCTGCAAAGCTGGGTCTCTTCCTTCATTCCTCCCTGCCCCCCCCCCCCTTCTCCTTCCCATTTGTTCAACACTTTCTCTGGCAAACACAAAAGGTGAAGAGTGAGTTGACAGTTTCACATCCTTTATAAGATAATCAAATGACAATTTCCTTCTTGGGTGTCGGGCCCAGGAGATACTGGAGAAATGTTAAAGACAGTTTCAAAGATTGCCCTAGCTGGTTTGGCTCAGTGGATAGAACACTGGCCTGTGACCTGAAGGATCCTGTGTTCAATGTTGCAGGCCTGCAGGAGGCAGCTGATCAATGATTCTCATCATTGATGTTTCTACCTCTCTTTTCCTCTCCCCTCTTCTATGGAATAAATAAAAATATATTAAAAAAAAGAAGTTTCAAAGATTGTTGAAAAAACATAAGACAATTTGTATGTTTTCAGTTCTCTGTTTCTGTGTGTGTTTGGGTTTCATAGCCATTGAAACATTTGTTTAAAGACATGTTTGGCCAGTTTCTAGCTCTTGGGTAAATTACCTAACCTTTCTGTGCTTTGGTTTCTTCCTTTTAGAAGAACTATATTTCTTGGGTTCAGCTGGGTATTAAAAAAGAAAAAGTGAGCCCAGGCCAGTTTGGCTTGGTAGATAGAGCGTCAGCCTGTAGACTGAGGGGTCCCGGGTTCGATTCTGATCAAGGGCCTGGGTTGCAGGCTCGATCCCCAGTGGGGGGCATGCAGGATGGAGCCAGTCAATGATTCTCATCATTGATGTTCCTATCTCTCTCTCTCCTTCTTCCTTCTTTTTGGAAATAAATAAAAATAGATTTAAAAAAAAAAAGGAAAAGAGAGTTTTGAACAGTGGCAGTGTTGTAGCTAAGGAGGTTTATCGGAGGCACAATTATTGCTTAATTGAAAAATATAAAATAAAAAAGGAAAAGTGCCTGGCCTGTGTTGTTCAATCGATGAGTGTTGACCCCATGAACCAGGAGGCACATGCCAGGGCTGCCTCCATCCCCAGTAGGGGGCGTGCAGGAGGCAGCCAATTGATGATTTTCTCTCATCATTGATGTTTCTATGTCTATCTCCCTCTCCCTTCCTCTCTCTAAAGTCAATAAAATAAAAATGCTTTTTTTTTTTTTTAAAGAAGTATGCCAAGTTCCTAGACCAGAGTCTGGCAGGCAGAGGTCACTCACTGGCTAGTGGTCCCTTACCTCCTGGCCTGCTCTGTCTTTCCCTCTCCTAGCTCACCGGGGTCAGCTCTACCTCTGCTTTAGCCCCTGTAGCCATCTGACACCCCCATGAAGTGGGGGTGTAATAAACTAATCTCTTCAGGGCTTCAAGGAGGCTTCCAGCATCTTGGAGGGAGTAACCAAGAGGCTGGCTTTGTAGCAGGGAGTGGAGGAAGGAGGCGGCAAGGCAGGCTGGTGCTAAACGGATGGGGAGCTAGTGGGCGAGGCCTTCTTGTTTGGCAATGACTGCCTCTCCCTTTTATCTCCCCCTCCCTCAAATATAGCCTTTAAAAGGGTAACACTGAAGCATGTCATAAATGCAAGAACGCAGTCACCTTGTAAAAACGGAGATATTAGAGTGATAATTCCATTGTCCTTTGATATCCCCTCTCCTCCCATTTTACCTTGTTATCGCTGTCATCCTTTTGGTGTTTTCGTTTTTGTTACACTGCCCCTTGGTGACATGTCCTCTCTCAGAATGCCCAGACTGTGCCAGCCTGCGATGGCTGGGAAGATGCCGCCCGGCCCTGAGCCCCTCCTAATTAGTCCTATATTAGTTCACAGAGGACTAATGAACTTCTAGAAACCTCTCCAGAAGCTTTCATTGGACACCTTCTCCCTTCTCTGCAGCTTTACATGTCAAGATTTACAAAGGCCTAGGGCATATACTGTCCTCACACTCCCTGTGATTGACGAAAGAAACATTCAAACCTGTGGAAAATTTTTATCAGACTTTAATTGAGCCCAAACTAACGACAATTGCTGGGAAGCAAGATCTCAAATGCTCCAGAGAATGACAGTTTTGCAGTTTCTTTTATGCATTTAAAATTAAGCAGCGAAGCAAGAAAGATTAGATAAGGGTAGGAGAAACCAAGGCAGGGACTGGATCACAGGGGCGATTTTCAACCAGTGTGCCTCGGCACTCCGGTGTGCCACAAGGATTTTTAAAATATGCAACATCTGACTTGTCAGGGGTACTGACCTCTTTCCCTTAGATGGTCAAATAAAAAAGTGACAGCAGCCCACTCTACAATAGCCAAAAGGTGTGAATGAGTCAAAATTATTTTGTTTTTTTTAATTTTTTTTGGTCAGATCAGCAAAAAATATATATATTTTTGGTGTGCCGCAGCATTTTAGTAATTAGTTTATGTGTATCATGAGATGAAAAAGGTTGAAAATTGATACAATACAGGATAGCAAGAATATGTACTTTCCTGATGGCAGTTAAGCTTATTTTAAAGGTTTGTTAACCTAGATGCACAGGTGTATTAACCTAGGGAGGGAGGGAGGGAAGGAGGAAGGAAAGGAGGGAGAGAGAGAGAGAGAGAGGTGAAAAAGACACATCCATTGGCTGCCTCCCACACATGCCCTGACTGAGTCTGGGTTTAAAATATATTTTATTGATTTTGTACAGAGAGGAAGGGAGAGAGACAGAGAGTTTTAGAAACATCGATGAGAGAGAGTCATCGATCAGCTGCCTCCTGCACCCCCCCCACTGAGGATGTGCCCGCAACCAAGGCACATGCCCTTGACCAGAATCGAACCCGGGACCTTTCAGTCCCCAAGTCGACGCTCTATCCATCGAGCCAAACCGGTCTTGGCATGGGTCTGGGTTTGAATCTGCTACCCAGCTACTTGCCTTTGGCCTGGAATTGAACTTGAGACCCTTCGTTGTGCAAGCTGAGGCTCTCACCACCGAGCTTCCAGCCAGGACAGGAGGAATTGGAGTTTATGATCAGGTCACTCTGTAAGGTTACTCTGGGTAGAACCTCTTTTTGTCCACACCTGTCAGTGGTCAATCTTGTCTCTCTCACTAGGGTGTAAGCCCTCTGAGGCCGGGTCCTGTGGCCTGCACATCGTCTGTGTATATGGCCATGGTCTCTGGCTCATGCAGAGCACACAATGTGAACGAGGTCAATAAATGCCCGCCCTGTGGAGTGAATAAGAATCCTGTCTGTCCATTTGAACAAGGGCAGCCCTTGCGGGGTCTGCTGCTGGCCAGCACTCAGACCAGCGATTGAGAGCTTTTTTTTTTTTTTTTTTTTGCTGGGGATGCTTGGCCCTCCCTATGAGAGAAGGCGGGTAGTTCAGTGGTCAGGGCGCAGGCACTGGATTCAGACAGAGCCTTGCTCAGCCTCTTACTAGCTACGTGCGATCTCGGGCAGGGCCAGCGATTGAACCCCTTTGAGCTTTCTTCACCTACAAAATGCAGCAACACCAGTTCCTGCCTCTAGGGCTGTCGTGAGACTGGAGAAGGGGAATGGATTCAGACTTTTATGGGGTTCTAGGTTCAGAGAGGTTTGAATATTGAATTCGGAAAGGCAAAGGAGGAAGACTCGTCAGCAGCCCTGAAGAATAAATAACCTGGTGGAGGGGTTTTCCGTGGGTGTGGAAACTGCCTGGGGAGGGGGATGCGGTATTATTAGTAAACTCTTCACTTCTCACGAGTTCAAGGCTGCCGCTCGGCGTCCCCTTTGCCCCTCCCACCACCTGTCCCTGCGTGCTCCCGAGTTCGATAGCAGATAGCAGACTATAGAGAAAAGATCAATTAAAACGGCCGCGGCTGGAGCGGGCACCCGTTCCTGTGCGGGCGGGGCTGCAGCGCGCGTTTTCCACGCCCACTCCGCGCTGCGGGGCCGCTGATTGGCTCGCGTGCAGTGACGTCACCGCGGGCTTTAAGGGCGCTTCCCCCGGGGCCGCGGGGCCGTGCGGGCGCGGGGAGCGGGCGAGCAGGCAGCGTGGCTGTTCGGTGGCCGCCCCGGAGGGTCGCCGCGGAGAGCCGTGGACGGAGGTAAGGGGGCTGGACGGGCCGTGCTGAGGCGGCCGGGACGCGGGCCCCGGGGAGCCGGAGTCAGCGATCCGAGCGAGGCTGGCTCCGGGGTGTCGCGGGGCGTTGGGGACGGGGTCCCCGTGCAAGGAGGGGGTCGCTGTCAGCCGCCCGGGGACGTGGAGGGCCGGGGGGGGGGGAGCGGGCCTCCGACTCCCGTCCCAGCGCCGGCACCCTCTTTTTTATTTTATTAAAAAAATACATTTTATTGATTTTTTTACAGAGAGGAAGGGAGAGAGATAGAGAGCTAGAAACATCGATGAGAGAGACATAGACCAGCTGCCTCCTGCACACCCCCTTCTGGGGATGTGCCCGCAACCAAGGTACATGCCCTTGACCGGAATCGAACCCGGGACCCTCCAGTCCGCAGGCAGGCGCTCTATCCACTGAGCAAAACCGGCTTCGGCGGCACCCTAACCCTTAATGTGCGGGCGCTGTCCGACCTGCCCCTTCCCGCCAGGATCATCGCCCGGGGAGTAGGGGTTGCGGCACTAGCGGACCGAGAGGCGCTGGATCCAGGCTAACCACCTCCCCCTCTCTCCCCTCAGTGTCCTGGGACCTGGGGCTTTATCCAGGTCTCATCGCCCTTGTTAGCGCCCCAGGGAGAGGGGAGCGGCTTTGTTGCACCTGCAGCTGCTTAAGAAAAAAAAGAAAAAAAACCCGGGGATTTAAACCAGGAAGCTGATTCAGGAAAAAGATCAAGGAGTTGCACCGTTCGCGTTTGTTGAACCTCTTCTCCCGTCTTCTCTCCTGACCTTTCCTTGTGTAGATAGCCCAGCTGTGGCCTCCAGAGCCTGCGATTGCAAGGCCACCACCTGTGCGCCTCTCCCGTGAGCCCCAAACCCACCCGCCCCTCCGCTGGAGCTCGCCATGGGGAACCACCTGACGGAGATGGCGCCCACCCCCTCCTTCCTGCCCCATTTCCAGGCCCTGCACGTCGTGGTCATCGGGCTGGACTCGGCTGGAAAGACCTCCCTCCTCTACCGGCTCAAGTTCAAGGAGTTTGTCCAGAGCGTCCCCACCAAAGGCTTCAACACGGAGAAGATCCGGGTGGCCCTGGGAGGGTCTCGGGGCATCACCTTCCAGGTGTGGGACGTGGGCGGGCAGGAGAAGCTGCGGCCGCTCTGGCGCTCCTACACCCGCCGGACCGACGGGCTGGTGTTCGTGGTGGACGCCGCCGAGGCCGAGCGGCTGGAGGAGGCGAAGGTGGAGCTGCACCGGATCAGCCGGGCCTCTGACAACCAGGGCGTGCCTGTGCTGGTGCTGGCCAACAAGCAGGACCAGCCCGGGGCGCTGAGCTCTGCCGAGGTGGAGAAGAGGCTGGCGGTGCGCGAGCTGGCCGCGGCCACGCTCACCCACGTGCAGGCCTGCAGCGCCGTGGACGGGGTGGGCCTGCAGCCCGGCCTGGAGCGCCTGTACGAGATGATCCTCAAGAGGAAGAAAGCGGCCCGGGGAAGCAAGAAGAGACGGTGACCCCAGGCCGCCCCCTCCTCCCCAGGAGGAGTCTTTACACCCGGACAGCAGGGCCGAGCCTGTGGCCCCTCCCCCAGCCCCAGGGTGCAGGCCCTGGCCCCCTAAATGAAGGACTGAGGCGCACCCGCCCCGCACTGGGCTGGGCGTCCTGCTGTGGGGAGGGGATGTGAGATGGTTGTCCGCTCTCGTCTCCCCCAGCCTCCCCTCCAGAGACGTGGGGGCTGCAGAGCTGAGGAGGCTTCAGTACAAACTGCAAATCTACCTCGACCTCGTTTCTCGTTATTCTCTGGCTTTTTAATTAGATGTGTGTTTGGGCAAAGGAAAGTCACCCGGAGGAGGCATCTGGTATGGGGTACTGTCTCCCCCTCCCCCAACTGGGAGTCCCCCCCACACTGCGTTTCTAGGGACGCCACTCATCACGGTCTTTATTTTTGTGTCTGTGTGGAAGTGCCAAGATCCTCTCCCCACATTTGTAGATCCACTGCCATTTTATAAGCTATGTGTGCCCTCGGTAGTAACTATTTTTTAGCATTTGTAAGTTATTAAAGACTGATGATACTGTACCTCTATCTGGCATTTTTCTTCTCCTTAGTCCAACATTTCTATGTGGGTGGGGTTTGGGGGCAGGGTGGGGGTTGGGGGTGGGTGGGGAGAATAATTTACCTTGAAGTTGAATTTGCCAAGCAAGCACTTTCCTAAAAATTAGACTTGAGCTGCTCCCCAAGCTGTTGCCTAATCTGCAGGGATTTTTTTTTTTTAATTTCCAACACACTTTTATCATTTCATCTCTTCATATTAGCACAGGCTTGAGAAATGACACCTAGAGTTAATTCTCCTTGTCTGGTTCCTGTATTTATTTTAAGGAAGTGGTAAAATGGCCAGACTTGCAGGGATTTTTTTTTTTTTTTTTTGGTGGTGGTGGTGGTGGGGGGGGGAGTTCCTTCTTCTTTCTCTTGTCTCCCCTACCCTCATCCTGTGGCTCTTACTTGTCCCTGATACCATCTGGTCTTGAAGATTTAACTGTTCCTAGATTATTCCCCTTGGGAACACATCCTGAGGTCTCTTTAGGTGAATCCTCAGAGAGCCTTTCTGTCCCCTTCTCCCCTCTCCCCAGCATTCGGGCTGGTCTGGTTTCCCTCCCTTATTCCCCCCTTCCCCGCCCTGGGGGTGGGGGGGTGCCGTGAGAATGGAAAGGAATTCCTGCCTGGCCCAAAGCCACCTCAGGGTGCTCAACCTGCTGACGGTGCTCACCGGCAGCTGCAGTAGCGGCAGGAGCCGGGAAGCCCGGGCTGGATTGAGCCAGCCTGGCTCTGACTAAACCATTAGTGTCCCAGCTCTGGGGCTGGTAGCTATCCCAGGGGAGGGGCTGTTCGTGCCCGCTGGGCGTGAGGACTGCTGGGCACCCGCCTCCAGGAGAGGAGGGGGGAGGCCACGAATGTCGGCAGAGATAGGAAGACTAAAATGCTAACAGGGTGAGGCCTGAGTGCCTTTGCCCTTCATGAGGGCCAGCTGTGTCTGAGACAACAGCGCAATCAGAACCTCCTAACAGGTGAGAAAAGTGAGTGAAAACCCAGCACGGCTCTCTCCAGCCCCCAGCCCCACAGTCACACTCCCAACCTTGGTGCATGCATGGGGTCTCCAGAGCAGGCCCCTGCTCCAGAATCAGACAAAAGGACCTGGGGTGGGAGAGAAGGTGCTGGCAACCCTATCCCCCCCAGGAGCCTTCCTAAGGAATTGCTTCATCCTAGCCAGGCTTGCAGAAGCCACGTTTTGCTGCTGAGTCTGGCCAGTTTAGATTTGCTCCCCACCCCCCCACCCCCGTGGCTGGCAGAACGAGGGTGAGTGTGCATTGATCCGGAAGGGTGCCCCGTGTGCATCAGAGCTGGCGCCTACTTGGCAGAGCTGCTGGGCTGGTTCTGCTGGGGACACGTGCTGCCTGGCCGCCCTCTACCCGTGCGTGTGATTCATGGCTGCCAGTCCCCACCACGGTCCTCTTCTGCAGTCCAGGGACAGGCTGTGGCTAACATGGTTAGATCTGTGTGGCTCAATCACCGTTTGATTCCCAGTCAAGAGCACATGCCCCGGTTGCAGACTCCATCCCCCATAGGGGGCGTGCAGGAGGCAGTCAATGATTCTCATTATTGATGTTTATCTCTCCCTCTCCTTTCCTCTCTGAAATCAACAAAAATAATATATTTTAAAAAACATCTGTTCTGCTGGGTGCCCTCTCCTCCTTACTCCATCCCAAATTTTGCTCTTTTGTCTCCAAATCTCCAAGGACCTGTTTTTTCCATTGCTGGTCACCTGGGGGACCGAGGTCTCCAGATTTGGGAGAAGAATGTAGGTGCTCCTCCCTCTAGGAAAGGGGCCTCGGAGGTGCCAGCTTTTGGTTTTGGCTCTGCCCTCCCTCCCTCTCTGGTTAGGACCATCTTCTCTCCCAGGGCGGGCTCTAGCGTGGGGCCACGGTCCACGGGAGACCGAGGAATATCCCAACTCTTCCCCACAGCCAGCTGGCCTGACCAGGGGTGGGAGTGGTGCAAGTGAGCGTGAGGAGGAGCCGATGGTTTTGAAGGGGTGTGGGGAGAAGGCAGCACTGGGAATTCTAATGAGAAAGCCACATTCTGGCTGGGTGTGGGTGGCGAGCTCTGGAACCATCTTGCCTTGGTCCCTCCTGCCCCGGCATTCTTCCTGTTGAGCGTTTGGGCTGACGGTTTGGAGTGGGGGTAGGCTCAGGGCTGGGGGTGGGTTGTAGGTCCCTTGTTTCACCTTTGATATGAAATAGACTTCCTCTGACTCTCTGAGATGGAGGCTGAGGGACGGGCTCCTAAAAGCAGAGGACTCTGGGGGCCAGGAGTGGTGGGCAGGGGTTGGCTGCCTGGGAGGTGAAGCTGAGGGAAGCCAGTGGGCCCAGATGTGGGGCCCCCTTCCGAGCTGCCCTCCCCCACCTCTCCTCCTACAAGGTGCATTGTAAAATCCAGACAGGGCATGTTCCCTGGGGGCCCTGCCCTTCCCTGAGGCCCTCCCCATTAGGGCAAAGATGGCAGTGGTCCCTTCCCCACGCCCTCTCTAATTCTCCTGCCTGCACTTGCGTAGGGACGAGGAAAGGCAAAGAGGAAGGAAAGGAGTTCCTAAGTCCCAGAGTGAGCATGGTGCCCAAGGACCCAGGACTCCTTGGTGATACATCCAGATCCTCCCTCCCTCCCTCCCAGGCCGGCTCTTGGTAATCCTGGCTCGGACAACAGGGGATGGGAGCTAAGCGCTCTGACCTCCCCTTCCCTCCCTCCTTCCCGCCTTGATTAGACCAAGGGCTGGCTTTCCGGTCCCCTACACCCTTCCTGAGGAGTGGCCACTTTATCTCTGAAGCCCGGGACAGCTCCGGCCTCAAATCTGGCCAGATGTCCCCACCCTCCTCCTTCCACACGGTCATTCTAAGTCCTTGTGGAGATGGACGGCTTCAGGGGGACCTGGGAAGCACTGAATTCCACCGGAGCACTGAGGGTGCTCAGGACAGCCTGTTCTCCGGCCCAGGCTGCTCTGGACGGAGGCCAGGGGAAGGGAGGGCTGAGTGAAGGCGTGAGGGAGGCCCGGGCCAGCCCTGGGCTGAGGGTAAGCAGCCTGTAACCCTCATTTCCAAGGCCATCTGCTTGACCCCGGCCGGCAGGGAGGTGGTGGGTGGGAGGGTGGGTGTTTTAGGACTTGCTAAGCCAGAGGAGGCTGTTTTCCTTCCTTCCTTTTTCAGATTTTTTTTTTTTAAATTTACTTTTCTCCCCCTCCCTCTCCTGCTTACAAAAGTAATAGGTCTTTGTTGGGGAAGCAGTGTAGAAACTTTGAAAATGGATAACCCCATCATGTAAACTTCAGGGAAAGCTAAACATCTGAACAGGGTCTTACATAGAATTTTCCAGATTTTTTTTGTGTGTGTGCATAGACATAAAAGGTATGCATATGCAACACACATGGGGTTATATGCCATATTGTCATACACTTTTACTTTTCTCTTTTGAAAAACAATTTTTTATTTTTTAAATATCTTTTTATTGATTTTTTTTTTACAGAGAGGAAGGGAGAGATATAGTTAGAAACATCCATGAAAGAGAAGCATGGATCAGCTGCCTCCTGCACCCCCCCCCCCCCCCACTGGGGATGTGCCCACAACCAAGGTACATGCCCTTGACTGGAATCGAACCTGGGACCCTTCGGTCCCCAGGCCGATGCTCTATCCAGTGAGCCAAACCAGCTAGGGCTGAAAACAATTTTTTAAATCCTCACTTGAGGATATGTTTGTTCATTTACTTAGCACTGATTTTAGAGAGTGGAAAGGGGAGAGAGAGAAAAAAACATCCATGTGAGAGAGAATCCTTGCCAACCCAGGTATGTGCCCTAGCCGGGAATAGCACTTACAACCTTTCTGGTGTACAGAACAATGTCCCAACCAACCAAGCCATCTGGCCAGCCCTCCCCCTCCCCCCTGCCCCAAACTATAAGAGAGAGTTTGTTAAGAAAGTCACAGAGGTGGGAGAAGTGATGTGCAGAAGACATGGGCTCAGGAAACAAGTTCCAGAGGCAAAAGGAGGGGCCCTGGGAGTTTAGGAGAGAAAAGGGTAAAGTCACACGCCTGAGGGCACCGAGGGGACAGGAAAGGCGGGCGTGCTCCTGAGAGGGAGCCTGCTTTTCTCATTTATGTCTTGGGCGTTATTCAGTGTCAGGGCAAATGGGGTTTCCTCGTTCTTTTTGATGACTACATGAGATTCCGTTGTGTGAAGGCGTCATCGTTTATTAATTAAAGCCAGAGTGTCCACGGTAATGAACTTCCTTGCACATATTTCTTTGTCCACGTGGGGGAAGATACCCTTTCAGAGAAATTTCTAGAAGTGGAATGGTTGTCAAAGGGTATGTGTATTTCAAGTTTTCACAGAGAGCGCGCAGTTCGTAGAGAGGGTTTGGGTGGGGAGAGAAATTTAATCCAGCCTCCGCATGGCCAGATTTCAAGGGCTCTTCAA